CATCCACAAATTACTACAAGCAAAATCCTCAAATATAACAGAAACATCCACACAAGAAGCCGACACTGTCAACAGAAGCTGGAAACACTTCAATCCAATCAGTCAACAAGAACATCCTAACTAAATTAAATTAATACTATATTCATAAATAAAGGCATTGAAAGAAGTGTTTTTAAAAGTCAGTTTAGACAGAGATTAATGTTAGAGTTAGGCTAAGGTTTGTTGGGGGAGGGGGCTAAGGTAAGATTTCGTTCCCAAATTCGCCTTTCTTTTTTAGTGCTAATGGTTGTTCCCAACAGACTGATGTGTTTATTCCTCTAGGTGTCTATTCTCTAACGTCACTACAAGACATGACGTGAACATGCAAATAGTTTTGATTAAGCTGATTTTAACATTAGCGTTAACACAAAACATTGGTTAGAGAACCATTGGAAAACCTGGGAGAACTGGACAGCTGTTTCGTCAGAGTAGTTTGGGACTCTTCCACATCAGTGCGCACCCACCGCCACGGTTCGAGCCCAGGACCTTCTGGTTACAAGGCCAACGAGCTCGTAGACCATTAAGCCACTAGGACTCAATCCAATGGCTAGTGCATGAATTCCAACTCGAAAGAAGATGCCAAAGCTAGCCAGTCAGAATTGGAAATGCAAGATACGCCTTCATCAATCTGAAAACAGTTTGAATCACTTCTGCCCTGCAACCAACACAAAGAACAACATTCGGATTTTCAACACAAATATGAAGTCAGGCAGTCAGCTAGTGCTTCTGTACGAGTCAGAAACTTGCACTGTGTCAGTCACGAAAAGGATTTCCAACAAACTACAGTCTAACATCAACAGCTGTCTCCTTCGCTGGCTGACTCCATACTGAAGATCAAATGGCCAGCCGGTCAGAAAGAATTAACAACAAGAAACTCTGGCTGGCAACAAACAAACCAACCAAGAGCCGATCGCCCAACGAATGTGTAGGTTAGAATGGAGGTGGATCGGGCATACGTTGAAGAGGCCGTCGAATGACAGTACACAATGCAGACTATCGCCCGAGTGGAACCATAATGGGAAACGACGAGTGGGTCATCAGTGCGAGTGTGACATAGATGAGATCGTTTGGGGAGGAGGAGGTGAGAGAGACTGACTACAGGATGAAGCTGCTTGTAGTTCTAGTGAGATGTTTTGTCCAATGGAGTCCATCAAGTTGTGAATGTGAGGACAAATACTTCGCGACGATACAGGCTGGTAGTTACGCTACAAATAGCTACAAATGAGAGGAGTAGAAATTTTATAGGCTATTATTCTGTCTCATAATAAAAAAATACTTGTTACTTATACCACATAAAACATAGACATAGACCAATTAGAACATCTGATAAAAAAGTTCTTTGATAGCAACATTATAGTGTCACACAAAATCAAACGATATAAAACTTAAAAGATAGATAAGTGTATGGAGTGGGTGGGTGGTTGGTTGGTTTGGTCGACATTGACAGGAACGCTAAAACAAAGGAACAACAGCCTAAAAACGAGTTTTATAAGCGCATATTTTTTTCTGAGAAAATCTGTTCAGGTGTTCAATCGGTAATTTAATTAATTTTTTTTTATCAGTAAACTTTAAGTTATTTATTGGCATTAATTCAATTATTATTGTCAGTTTAATTTACCAACAACAACAACAACAAAAAAACTGTGGAAAATTGGGAATGATTCTCAAAAGTGGGTTTTGTAGGGATCTGATTTGTTTTTCAAGTTTAACTATGGATTAATATCATTTAAAAACCACTGAGAAGCTGTTTCGTCCTGGTTTGGTACTTGTTAGCCGAGTACAAAACCAGAACCTTCCAGTTACAAGCCAAGCTCATAGACCATTAAGTCACTTGGACTTGGCTCAGTAGCCAGCCCACTATTTCTAACTTCTCCCAACTGGTATAGTTGTCTCGATCACCAGTTGATGTTATCGGTGAGTATCGCTTGTTCACCTCTCACTAGAACTATAGGCAACTTCGTTCTGTAGTCAATCAGTAGGGAAGATCAGAATAATTTTGAAGAATCTGATTTTGCATGGATGTGGAATTCGTGAGCCACTGAGTTGAGGTCCCAGGTTGACTTGTAACTAGAAAGTACTGGGTTTTGACCATGGCGGCGGATAAGTACCGATGACAAGTCTCAAAATAGGACGAAACAGCTGTCAAGCACATCTTGGTAGTTTTCAATGGTTCTGAAACTGTTATCAATCCGTGGTTAAACTTGAAAAACTGTGAAGAAAGTGGATGCTTGAATATATTTTTTTTTAAAAAACCTTGAATTCTGCCTAAATGTGACAATAAAGCTTTAGAAATATTTTTAAGTCTGTGTGTCATTTGTCAGTTCTATTTTTGTATTTTGCCCACTATTATTTTGTACAATTAAATGCCTAAACCGCTTATTAATAAACGTCCTATTACATATCTTACTACAGACAGTAGTAATACAACGTCTGTAGACGGAAAGAGATAGTAGGGAACAGAGGAAGTGTTTCCCCAGACACACACACAAACACTTCCAACAGAGACGAATGAATCTAGCTTGAAATAGAAGAAAAACACACTAACCGCAGAAATAAACATCATGTTATGAAAAAAAATTTATTTCTCATTGTATCAAACCATGAATTGTTGATATGTCGTCATAGTTGAACAGAACTAAACCATGTGATCCCCTCTTATTTTGGTATTTTTACACCGAAATAAATCAGTTTCACTTCAAAAGAACATGAACACTGTTCAGAAAAAATTCAAGTTAAAAGTAGTAATATTATCAAAACGCCTGTTCGAGTGGTTTATCGGTCTAAATCAGTCTTATTATTTCATTTTTCAGGGATAAGGAATGTGGAAATCAGAAGTCTGATCACCAGTTGACGTCAATTAGAAAAGCATTGGAAATCACTAGGGAGTACTGAATGGCTGTTTCATCCCCCCCCCCCAGTTTGGGACTTTTCAGCAGTACTGCCTACAGGAGTCTGAACCATAACCTTCCGGTTATAAATCGAATTCGTAGACCAACCGGCCACTGTGACCCGGTCCAATGGCGCATGAATCCAAACTCTGGGCAGTTGACGACATATAGTGCAACTCCCAGCCAGTGTCTAAGGCGATTTGATCTGATCTCTTATCTGACTTGGTAAAACCTACTGGTCGCGACTTTTCAATAGAACTCAAGGGATTTTGATTTTGCTCTCGAGATACAAATACATTCTTTAATTGGCAGAAGTTGTTATTCATGGGCCAATGGATCGAGTTCCAGTGTCTAAATAGTCTACAAGGTCACTTTTTTACAGTGGGGCTCCTGGATTCGAACCCTGGCAGTAGGTGCGTGCTGGCGAAGAGCTCCGAACTGGTGCGAAATAGCTATCCGGTACTCCCTTGTGGTCTACAGTTGTTCTTTAACTGATGTCGACTTGTTATCAAACCAGTCACCAGTCAGATGCCTGAGAACACTCGCTTGAAATCACAACTGTTGTAAATAAAATGTTAAATCTCACCTGTTTCATGAGATATAACAGTGGCCTTAAAGCTTTTAAACTATAGACGCTCAGTTTTAGCCTAAGGGTCTAGGGGACTCAGGTATATCTAGGTGATGAGTTTCACATAGGCAGAAGCGTGCATCCCGGATTCCACTGCTAGCCATTAGCAAAGTGTCACTAAATTAGGATATATAACTTACTGGATACGTAAAAGTTTCATTGTAAGCGTCCAAATGAAAAGATTTCGAAAACATGGAAAAGTACCCTCACTCTCCTCAAAGATATATGTGTATAAAACTGAGGGATCAACAGGTTCTTGAATCAACAGTTTACCTATCCATGAACTACTAGGAGCTGAGCAAACTGTATTTTAGATCATGGCATTTCACAACTGCCTATCTAACAACTGTCTATCATTATTCCTATACATACGTTCCAAAAGGATCATAAGGTTTCAAGATAGAGCTTTGAAATTTCGGTAGCAATTATTTTATTTTTACAGAGTAGGCTTGCTAACCTCACGCCAAAACTTCTCTCCTTACCGGCCTTACTACCGGCTTAGCAAGGCTTAGAAGTGCGTCAGCTAGGGATCAAACTCCGGGCCATGTGTTTGGTTAGCGAGCATTCTGCCGCAGAACCAGCGACGAAAAAGCAGAGGGCAGTAAATAGCTAAGCCGTCCTAGTTAAGGACTCCTCACCAGTACCTACCGCAACCTTTGGGCTACAAGGCGAGCTCGTACACCATTCAGCCACTAGGATGTTTATAATTACACCAGTTACATGTAAGTTGTAGAATTCGACAAGGATTTCCATCTTTATTCAGGTGTTGGTTTGTACGGATTTGATTGGCTACAGGATTTTCATCATGAGGTGACATTAGTTAGAGAACCATTGGAAAACCTGGGAGTACTGGACAGCTGTTTCGTTCTAGTTTGGAACTCTTCAGCAGTACGCACCCACCGGGATTCGAACCCAGGACCTTCTGGTTACAAGGCGAGCTCGTATACCATTAAGCCACTGGGACCCGATCCAATGGCCCATGAATTCTAACTTCTGCCAATTCACGACATAGCAGGACCCCTAGCCAATGTCTTCGGCGAGTATTTGTCCTCACACCCGACCTGCTGCACCCTACTGGTCACGACTTCATCTTTTTCTCACAGTTCGATTTCCAGGTTAGGACTAATGAGGGGTATGATTCCAGAGACTCACCCTAGTCAAGCATATCTTTTACCGGTTCACTGGGTTGTAATCTTATAGCCTGTGAATTCCAAGTCATTAGTGTGCTCATTTCAGAGTCTGAAGTCCCTGAGTTTGACTTCCAGTTGTATCGTGGGTTCGCGCCACTGGAAACTCCTGCATTAGAACGACACAGCTGGTCAATACTCACTAAGCAATAACAAAACTTCTTCTGCAAATGAAAATGCAGCTGTATCAAGTGTAAAATTAATGAAGACAACAACTCAAATATATAGGCAGACATAAATGTTACGTAATCAACTTACACTCTGTAATTTAGTCTTTCTTGGCGATTCAGCCGTTCCATCATGATTGAATTTTTTTATTTGACGATCAGTATTATCAGCGTTCTTTTTTGCTTCAGACTTTAAAAAGCTGGTTTCATGTTCTCCTTCGTTTGAATCCATCAGAGTAATAATAATGAATTATTTTATTATTTATTTATTATAATTATGATTACTGAACAATGATGTCAGCAGAACTGAAATAAAAAGAAAATAGAGACGAGATAATTAATAAGTGAGTGAAATTAGTGTTTTATTGTCAAGCAATAGGTTATAGCATTTCTATTTATTACTTATCAGTCAATATACGTTACTGTAATAGTATTCACCAAAAGGAGGAGAATCTCGATTAAATCTCCTCTGTAATGAGTAGAAATGATATCTTTCAGAGTCCCACCGAACATCAGATCACTGATCTATTGCACCTTACATTCAAATAGCCATTGCTTTTTCCTCGTATGCCAGTTCTTCTATACGGATCAGAAACTTGGCGGGTCACCAAGAATATTTCCAACAGCCTGTTGCACACCTTTATCAACAGCTGTCTTCGTTCTATACTCAAGATCAGACGGCCGGAAAGAATCACAAACAAGAAACTATGGGAACAAACAAAACAAGAAACAATCGCTCAACAAATATGCAGGAGAAAGTGGAGATGGATTGGACACTTGCTGAGGAGGCCGCTGGGTGATATCGCGCGTTAGGCCATAGCTTGAGTGGAATTCGAAAGGGAAGCGGCGAGTGGGCCGTCCAAGGGTGACATGGGGGAGATCGTGTGAAGAGGAGTTGAAACAGTATGGACTAACATGGATGCAGGAGGAATGTACAGCAGAAGACAGAAGCAAGTGGAGACGTGCAGTTGAAGCCCTATGTTCCACTAGGAACCCAAGGGAACAATCATAATAATGAGTTCACTAGTAGATAGCATGTCAAAACAAGCCATAGGAAGGTAAAATAGGAGGGTGATACATTTTCCGGGAACTCCATTTTGTTCCATCTAGTTGATGATGGTCACTTGGTGAAAGATGAGCTTCCGATACACATCTATTCTTATCTTCCTAAAATGTGGGTTCAAGGATGCTTTACATAGACATAGAAAAATTCTACCACTTATTGTTAACCAATTCATAACATTATTATTACTTGTTTTACAGCCGTTCATTAACTATGTCTCTTCAAACATTTATCTTCACAATCATACTACTTTTACCCGCCTTAGCATAATGTACTTCGTGTTTATTCACAAAGTTTAAGGGGAAATCTGCCAGGAATCTAACCGGACTATTCGCGTCTCTGGTGAGCCTTATAGCAGTGACACGATATTGTACACTTCGTTAACTACGACTTCTGCCTGTTAGTTGATTGCAAGAAATCAGCAAAAGATGCTAGACCTGAGTTTTTCGTACATTTAAGCACTCGTCATTAAGGCTTATCTGTAGCATTTAAGGCAGTGATATCTGTCAGTGTGATGACTAGATATACGAAAGTGGTCGCTCATCAGTGACCAGTCTCTGTCTTCCAAGTGTTTATGATAATTTTAAAAAAAATGAATATTCAAACATAAAAATGACCGTAATAATAATAAATTTCTTGTTATACTGTACATTTATGAATCCATGAATAGTGAAAAAAGTGTCTAGATTTAGATCTTGGTTATCTTTATCTGACTGCATCACTGCATTCCCCTTATGAGTTTGTTTTGTTTTAATTGACCTTTCACAACTTTTTTTATACACAAATTGATTTGACAAATAAATGAGTGATCAGATTGTTCGAAATGGCTTTTGGGCAAACACAATCACACTTTTCCACATAAACTCCAGCTTCTAATAACACGCTTTAAAATATACAAGTTCTGACCAGTTCAGCTATCAAGACTATAATTAGACGAATGAATTCAGCATCGGTTTCTACAAAAATAATAATGACGTCAGCATGTGTTCAAAATGTAAATCTCTCCTAAGCCAAAAAAGAAGTGGAAGATTTTGCCAATAACACTCAAAAAAATGAAACAAGAGGAAATATAAAATGAAGATAAATGCAAAGACGAAATAAAGGGGAAAGAAACATGACCATAATCCCCAACGTCACTTAAAAATCCCTAGTGAAAGTGTCTAGAAGACTTTCACCGAAAAATAGACAACAAAAAGTCTACAAACGAAAGAACTCTATGGCCAAGAGAAATCTTATTGCAAATCATTATATTTATTGTTAAGCGGTTAGGGATTATGAGATAGAATGCCCGCCAACCATGCTTCACGTGGTCCGGGCTTCGATCTCAAGGCTGCGGTACCTTCAAAACCTCGCCTACTCGATAGTTAGCGCGGAGAAGAAGATAGGTTGGACATGAGTGTAGCAATTCTACCTCGTAAAAGAAAGAATGATATCTGTATCACTGAAATTTCAAAGATCGGTGCTTGAAGCCTTATTTTCCATTCAGAACAATAAAGGAATAAAATCAATAAAAAAATTATTCATCACTGCAAGGAAAATCTATTCGTAACTCTGTTTAAGCTTTTTTTTGTAAATCGCTTATGCAGATCACTGGGGAAGGCCTTCTTTACTGCTGAGCTATGTATGAATTTCTACAGCCAACAAATGATCAATGGATGTGTGAAGAATAAACTGCCGCGGTTTTAGGTCACTTCAATGTGTGTTTATAAATTCACCTGCTCGTGTGGAGCTAGTTATATTGGCCGCACAAAGTATACACTTTCCAACCGCATCTCTGACCATTATTCGACATGTTTAACAAAAGGACAATGCAAGACAGTTTCTGGCTCAGTTCTCGAGCACTTGGTGAACTCAAGCTACACAGCTCCACCAGAGTCGTCTTTCAAGAATATCTACAAAAAGTGAGGCTAAATGGTACAAAGGGCGTCAGGTTCCGGCTTTTATGCATGGCGAAGGCGCTGGCAATTCGTCAGTATAACCCCGAACTCTGTATACAGAAAAGGTTTGTCCAATCTCGTATTTTACCTTGGTCTTAACCTCTTCACTAGTCGTTCCTTGTAAAAGAAATTTTGATTTCTTTTATTTTTTAATTTTACTTTCAGTTTGCTTTTACTTTAATAATTAATTCTCATATGTTCCTTTTGTACATATTCACAAACCTCTTCCTTACTTGTTAAATTGGCACTCAACTACCTTTCTTTTTACTCAATAGCAATTTTAACCTCATCAAATTTCTAACTTTGTGCCGTTGAGTACTACGTAATTTGTAACTTTCATTCTTAACTCCTATTTTTCATTTATTTTTGTAATTTTTCATTATAGCTTGATTCCATACTGTATTTTTGGTACAAGTATGGAATTTTCAGCATGTGATATCAGTAGCCCGAATTCTGCAGGTCAACCATTGATATCAGATGTGCGTCGGCAGGGGATCGAACCCCGGACCATATGCGTGGACGGCAAGCGTCCTAATCACTGCGCCACCGACGCACTTTCTAAAGCTACTTTCGAGTAATTATATCAATTATGTCACCTCCTATTACTCAATAATAGACTACTATATATTTTTGTAAGTATAAATACGACTGTACAGCCTCTGAAGATGATTTCGTCGACAAAGAAAATTTTCTTCGCTGAATTTGTCTTTTATTTTCTTCATTATATAACGTATTCTGACTAATTTTAGCTTTGCCTAATGAGTTCGTCTTCTACAAAACGCTGAAACTATCGAAAGCCACCTAAATGAGCTGAAGTTATGTCTTCAAAAGAAGTTCATCCAGACACTTTCCCTACATGGTTGGTTATCTTCATTTGGCTGTAAAAATCTGACAGCTCTCCCTTCTTCCTAAGTCATTTACAAATTATTATTGTTGTCTTTTTAGCTACGGTTAATTTTTGCACACATTTTCTTCTTAACTTTATCTGATATTCAGTTTGATGCACATAATCACTCGTAGATGCTTTTGAACCGTAATTCTGTCGATCTTAATAACTGGGTATTGTTTTCTTTAAACAGGTTTGAGTGAATCAGAGTCATTCTGGTTCTAGACTGTGCGCAGGAAGCTTAGGTGTGCGATTCCTTTCGATAGTGTTTTGATCTCACCTTTTTCAGAATATTCTACTGGATTCTAAGTACTCGTTTCGTACTCAGACGGGACTGCATCTCTTTCTAACGACACTGTTGAGATAATTCTGAATTTTTGATGTCATTATTTTTACGAGTTGATCACGGATTGATATCAGTTAGAGAACCATTGAAAGCCAGGGAGTAATGGGCAGCCATCTGTTTCATCCTAGTTCGGGAGTCATCGACAGTGCACACCCACCACCAGGGTTCGGGTCAAGGACCTTCTGGTTGCAATGCAAGCTAGCTCATATACCATTCAGCCACTGGGACCCAATTTAGTGACTAGCACATAAAATTCTAACTTCTACCAATTCATAATTTAGCTCGACCCCAACCAATGTCATCGGTGGGACATCCATCCTCACACTTGACTGGATGGATCTCACTGGTCACTACTTCTCACCGGGACTTCAGGAAACTCTATCCTGCAGCAAGTAGCCTTGTAACCGGAATGTCCTGGGTTTGAACCTCACTGTGGAGGGTGCCTCCTGTCGATGATTCCCAAACTAAGCTGATGAAATAGCTGTCCTGTACTCCATTGCTGGATTTCAATGCTTCTCTGACTGATATCAATCCGTGGTCAAACTCGTAAAATCAAATCTAATTCTTACAAACCAACTATAGAAGATGTTATTATTGTTTAATAGAACACCACACAGATTTACTGAAGAACAATGACCATTTTGTTATTTTTGGAGCGTTTTGTGACTGTGTTTCTCTCAAGAAAGTTTTGCTCAGTTATACAGTAGGACACACACATTGGCTTCCTTTTGCTCAAACCCCAACGAGTCAATTTCGATCGTAACAAAGGATGCTATTGAAAATAATATGCTTTCCTGAATCTTTTATGTCTTCTAAATTAACAATTATACTAGATGCGGATTTTAGCGATAATGATCACAACAATGACAGTAATGTTGATGTCTTTTAAACATTTGAAAATCCTTAGTTACACACAGTACTTCTTGTGTTACAAAGTACATATATGTCTTATAACAATTCTTAATTTGTTTGAAGTTTTGACTACGGATTGATATCAGAGAACTACTGAAAACCACCAGGGATTAGTCGAAAGCTATTTCGTCCCAATGTGCGTTTAATCAACAGTACCCATCC